AAAAAAAAAAAAAAAAAAAAGCAATGTGTACATTGTGAACCTGTGCTGCTTCACAGGATCTGTTTGAGGCTTCAATGAAGGGAGCAATGAGAGTATGACATTTGACTTATGCCCCACTGCTTAAGAGATCCATTTGAAGAAGCCGATGAGCTGTAGAATGAAGGAGCTCTAGATTGGTTTGAGTAGAAGAGGATTTTACCTTGCTGCCCATACTGAGCAGAGAATAGACAGAGCTGAGCAGCACAGGAAAGTGTGGACACGACTCACTGCCTTAACATGTTCTCACGGAGCTAGTAGCTGCTGGTGGCCACTATGCAAGTGGGATAAACCCAGAGGACATTCGCATCAAGGAATCACTGTTAAGGAAATGACAATAACCTCAGAGTTTTCCACTTTGTATCAAATTGACTGAAGCTCAACAACGCGTGTCGTGCAGACACTAGATGTAATGTCATGTTTGTCTACTTGTTCTTGTTTCCTGTTTGATTTGTGGCTTTCTGTGTCCCAGTTTCTCTTAGCGTTCCAGTGTTGGTTCGTTTTATACCTGTTCACTGGTGAAGGAAACGGTCTTCTGCAGAAAAACTATTTATGTAAAAGATACTTTCAGATATCATGAAGTTGCATATGTCCTGAATTTCAAGCATAAAATCTTGCGTTTTTTGATGTGGAGATCATCTATGAAAATGCAGTGCCTTTTTCCCGCCCGTGAAAGCTTTGAAATACATGTTATACCACAAAGTAGATACAAATTTGTTTAGTGTTAGCATTTTTTTAGTATGAATGTTCTGTTTGGATATGAAGGAGCAGCTGTGAATCGTTGCATTCTCTCATTGTGTTTTGAATCAACAGGCATGTGAGACTCCTTTAAACTATAAAATAAAGTGCTTTTTTAAGGATTTCCCACCAGAGAAGTCTTGAAAACAAGGCTACGTAACTAGATGATTTGCTTTTAGCTTCCAGTGTTAGTATTTTTAACCTGAATTGTTGATTTCTTGCTGTGACAATCTGTCTTATAGTTTGCTATGCACACTGCATTCTGCATACAAGCAAGTTATGTTTGAGTTTAATCATGAGCCAGTCTTTTTGTTGGGTATTCTGTATCTACTAACAGTAATAAAATGTTTTAAATCTGTAGAATGGAGGCATTTTGGCACCATTAAGTCCCCCTTGACACATATTTAAAACCCTTGTACCATATGAGGAAATCAGTCTTTTTCTTCAGAATAATGTGATTTTGGACTTTTATTTTATTTTTTTTACACACATCTGTAATGCTTATGAGTACATTCATCTGTGTTCTTGAGCATCAGGAAATGTTCTGTACCAGTCTGTTCTCTCCTGATATGTGATGATAATCTTCTCTGTGTGCTTCTTTCTGCTTTTGCCCCAGATGCAAAGGAGAGGTCAGCCAAGAGATTCTCTGTGGCCGGCGTCTTCAATTACACCTCTCTTCTGCTCAGCCAGGAGGACGACATGCTGTACGTCGGAGCCAGGGAGACACTGTTTGCCCTCAGTCTCTCAGACATAAACAAGACCAAGCTGCAGAAGAATGTATGTTGAAAGAGTCACAATTGCAATGAACATTTCTTGGAAATGTGTAGAATTGGGCTGGATAATATACTTTCACTACAATCATGGTTGCAACTGGCATGCGACTAGATATTACAGTTATATAATGTGGCTTGTAAACCTAAGTATTTGGAGTTAACTACTTGTTACATGCAAAATGTAACAGCTTACAGATTTGTATACATTTTGATCTGATAGAAACTGCCCTCAGTCCTTTTGAGATACAGGAGAATCAGCATGGTTCCCTGAATTTCATATGACTTATCTTAGGTTTCTTTTTCATCTTCAGCTGACATGGGGCACTCCTGCTGGAAAGAGAGAGGAGTGCAGCTTCAAAGGGAAAAACCTGGAGGTGAGAGGCATCTTCTACTGCTCTATCAAAACGCCAAACAATGAAAATACCCCACAAAAATATTCCCATAATAACGGTATCAAAAGCATGGATTTTTCTGTACAGGATGTTTGTCTTTTTTCCAGGTTTTTGCATTTTGTTTCACTAGTTCTGTGATGACATAAAATTGGTGTAGAGTTTTGTGTTTGCAAAGTTTTCACCAGTTACAAATAGATCCATCAAGTGCGCAGGCTCACTGGGGAGTAGCGCTTTTCTTTTGCACTACTTCTATCTTTGTGTCTGTCTTTTACCCTTTTGTCATGCCAGATGTTTTACCCCTGGGCGACAAGCCTCGGTAATCTGTGTACTGCAGTGTACAACTCGGGTTTTCCCAACAGTGTTTGAGAAAAGATTTTTTTTTCTGTTGAACAGTTTCTCAAGCATTTGTGCTTTTTTTTTTTTTGCTCTCAAAGACTGACTTACTTACTCCAGGCATAGATTTTAAGGTGCTCTCAAGAAAAACGTATTCATTTATCTGAATTACATGTGGATTCACAGAGCTCATGCTGTCTCCGCTTCTTCCCATCCAGACTGATTGCTTCAATTACATCAAAATTCTTCTGCGGCTGAATAACACTCATCTCTACGTGTGTGGCACCTATGCTTTCAGTCCTATGTGCGCCTACATAGTAAGTAATGGCCTCTCAATCTACCTTATGTTCATTTATTTATTTTAAAAAAGTCTTGGTTTTCTTTGTCTCCACTCCTGTCATTAGAACAGGCTTGAATGTACATACAGTGGGTATGGAAAGTATTCAGACCCCCTTAAATTTTTCACTCTTTGTTATATTGCAGCCATATGCTAAAATCATTTAAGTTCATTTTTTTCCTCATTAACACAGAATTTTTGACATTTTTGCAGATTTATTAAAAAAGAAAAACTGAAATATCACATGGTCATAAGTATTCAGACCCTTTGCTCAGTATTTAGTAGAAGCACCCTTTTGAGCTAATACAGTCTTTTTGGGAATGATGCAACAAGTTTTTCACACCTGCATTTGGGGATCCTCTGCCATTCCTCCTTGCAGATCCTCTCCAGTTCTGTCAGGTTGGATGGTAAACGTTGGTGGACAGCCATTTTCAGGTCTCTCCAGAGATGCTCAATTGGGTTTAAGTCAGGGCTCTGGCTGGGCCATTCAAGAACACGAGTTGCTGTTAAGCCACTCCTTCGTTATTTTAGCTGTGTGCTTAGGGTCATTGTCTTGTTGGAAGGTGAACCTTCGGCCCAGTCTGAGGTCCTGAGCACTCTGGAGAAGGTTTTCGTCCAGGATATCCCTGTACTTGGCC